CTGTATATTGATCTTCGGTAATTTTGGAATATTCACACTTCCAAGGTAAGTTGCAATTTTTTATTGTCAGTAGATGATAACATGTAGTTATGAGCTTTTTCGTTAGATTTAATTCGATCTTAGTACGAAATGTTATTAACATTTAGTTTACATCATTATGTTAGCTGTTATAGTGTTGGTGAATCACAATGGTTAGTGGCTTGAATACACGTGACCGCCACCTGTTGGTGATTTTAAAATACTGATTTAAATTTGTATCGAAGACAAATTAGTGAATGATGACACAGGGCATATACATTTTTTACGTTGATAGATGTCTCTGAGCATATTCCTTTCAAGTTATTGAAATAAAAATGTCAAACCTTCCCTCTGTATTAAATACTGTCAAACTTCGCTATGTAAAACAACTGAGGACCAATGAATTATTATGTCATAGACTAACTTACTTATATGAATAAACATAATTTCGGCTTTAATTTGCATAGGAAAATTTAGGAATAATAAATTTATGTTTACCAGTGTCAAGGACATATACACTGGTGGTCGAAACTAAAGCAACTGAAATTACAAGGAGAACAATTTAAAAAGTATCAGTCGGTATTGCCGCCAGATATATACCCTCAGCCTATGTTCGATTATCTAAATATATTTGACTAGTGTTATGATTATTCAAACGTTTGATCCTCTATGGAGCAGATCCCGAAGGAATGGGCCAATATTGCCCATTTCCTATCGGACCCAAAAATATGATATAAATATTTCGACAGATGTGCCAAGTGTAAATGGAATCGGATGTTAATTTGGCGTTTTATGAGCTTCATGGTTACTCAAAATTTCAATGTTTTGTGGGGGAGGTACCAGAAGGAGTGGACCGACGTATTCCCCCTTCAAAATTCAAAATTTTGACCATTTGTGGGGGAGGTACTTGATGGAGTGGACCGATATTGTCCATTTCCACACCTGACCTAGTACTGACGCAAATTTTAGTTTATGCAAAGTTGGAGCAGAATCGGATTATCCATTCACTTTCTGTGCAAAAATTTATATTTTTAGAATATTTCGACCTTTTGTGGGGGAGGTACCAGAAGGAGTGGACCGATATTGTTCATCTTAACACCAGACCTTGGGTTAATATAAATATTGGGATGTGTGAAATTTGAAGACAATTTTATGAGAGTTGTAATTATTCAAAATTTTGACCATTTATGGGGGAGGTACTTGATGGAGTGGACCGATATTGTACATTTTCACACCTGACCTAGCACTGACGCAAATATTAGGATTTGCAAAGTTGGAGCAAATTCGGATTATCCTTTTTCATTCTGTGCAAAATATATATTTTTTGAAAATTTCGACCTTTTGTGGGGGAGGTACCAGAAGGAGTGGACCGATATTGCCCATCTCCGAACTCGATCTAAGTTTGACAAAAATATTACGATGTACCCAATTTGGACCAAATCGGATACTCCCTTCGAGAGTTATCGTGCGCACCAGCCAGCAAGACAGTCAGACAGACGGATGGACGGACATCGCTAGATCGACTCCAAATGTTCTGAAACGGATTTGGTCCAAAGAGACCTAGGGTCTAAAACCGTTATTTCGACTAGGCACGTTTTGGCCGTATCAAATGATATATACCCTCTGTAGCCATATGGCAGTGGGTATAATAAGATGGGACATTACATTGTTACTTTTCTTCAATAGATGGCGTTGGTAGTGGAAAAATATGTTATGTCACGATATCGTGACATAGCATTATGTTATTCATTAACAGAGCTGACACATTTTAAGTGTTGTTGTTGATTTTTATCGACTCAATGCATAGACAAATGAAGATATAGACAACGAAAAGTTAGTTTTGTCATTTTATCCAGATGGCGCTCATCATGTTTTGCATAGTCAATATGCTTATTTACGCGTTCAAGTCACTCGACTTCGAAAACACATTTTATCGGTTTTTAAGAATTTTACTTGATTATTCCTGAATTTTTCGATGTCATCACGTACTTTTCACATTTCTTTTATTATGAGACTATTATCCACTGACAAATATCCTACAGATTTTGTTATTTTTAACATTTTACAATTGAGTGATTTCAAAATTCCCACTCAAACCCCTGAAACGACATATACGACATCTGCTGACCCGATTTTTTTCGAAGATGAATGGTGAGAGCATTTCGTTGTCTATATTTTCATTTGTCTATGATATAGACAACGAAATGCTCTCACCATTCATCTTCGAAAAAAATCGGGTCAGCAGATGTCGTATATGTCGTTTCAGGGGTTTGAGTGGGAATTTTGAAATCACTCAATTGTAAAATGTTAAAATAACAAAATCTGTAGGATATTTGTCAGTTGATAATAGTCTCATAATAAAAGAAATGTGAAAAGTACGTGATGACATCGAAAAATTCAGGAATAATCAAGTAAAATTCTTAAAAACCGATAAAATGTGTTTTCGAAGTCGAGTGACTTGAACGCGTAAATAAGCATGTTGACTATGCAAAACATGATGAGCGCCATCTGGATAAAATGACAAAACTAACTTTTCGTTGTCTATATCTTCATTTGTCTATGTCATACCTAATATTTTTTTCCGCGTATTTCCGCCATTTTTCGGCGACGTCGGAATAACATATTTTTCTAAAATTTCCAATGCATTTCTGTTATGTCGTCTGCCACCTATTACCTGATAGAAAAATTAAAGCCGATATGCATTTTGTCCAGTATTCATAATTTGGGTTTTAATTTGTTTAGGAAATTTTAGAAATAAGAAGTGATTTTAATTTTAACATGTTAAGAAGTATACGTCGATTTTGCCGACAGATGTATACCCTCAGCCAATGTTCGATTATTTAAACATATATTTTGACTTCTGCTATGATTATTCAAATCGTTGACCCTCAATGGTGTAGGTTCCGAAGGAATGGGCCAATATTGTCCAATTCGTATCGGACCTAAATAAATATGATATAAATATTGCGATGTACCAGGTTTAGCCTATATCGACTTCACTTTATATGAAATATATGACAATTTTTAGAATATATTAAAATGTGCGTGAGGTACCACGTACAGGGTGAAATACAAAAACTGCAACAAAGTCAAACGCCATAATTTTTACATTTTTTAAAAAAAAATCTATTAAATGAAAGCAAAAAATTTCGGAAATAGCATCAAATTTTAAAATAAGTTTAGATTTGTTCGAATTTGTCACCTTTGCCATGAATTATGGCCTTCAAACGGCCAATGAAACGTTACACTATGACTGAATGTTGCTCAGCGGTATTTTGGCCCATTCCCGGTGAAACGCTTGCTTGAGGTGATCGACACTTTGGTATTTTTTTAGTGGCAACCTTGTTTTCTAAAATACTCCAGACACAATAGTCCAGCGAATTGGTATCCGAAGATTTTGTGGCCATTGTGCGCTGGAAATGAAGCTAGGAACCTCAGGTTGTAACCATTATTGGGTGGCGCGTGCTGAGTGCGATGGTGCTGAGTTCTGTTGGAAAGTCCACATTTAATACACCCTCCAGAATATTTGCGCGATAATATTCGGTATTTATTCTGATGCCACGGTCGATTAATACGAGCGTAGAGCGACCATCGGCTGTTGTGGGGGCCCACACTAACACCATGGCCGGCGCTCGAGTTCTGCTGGCCAACCGAAGGTGGAAATTTTCAGCTGACCTCTTTGGCAAGTAAACACGATCATTTTGTTTGTTCACAAACTGCTCGCCAACGAATGTTTTCTCATCGGAGAAACCCAAATTCGCCAGTTCACCACTTTTGGCCAAACGAAGCAACTCTTCAGCTCTTTTGAGTCTATTTTCTTTCTGTTGCGTTGTAAGTTCTTGAACTTTTTGGAAATTCAATGGCTTATTTTTCAATATTTGCCGAATGGAATATTGTGATACGTTCAGCTCAGAAGCCATTTTTCGGTCACTGCGACGCGGCTTTCGATCAATCCACATTTCGATTTATCCACATTTAAATGCTGGAGTGCTCTAACGATAGCCACTTGTGGTTTTCAGCCAAATATAAAGAAATCACACTGACAACAGTCTGAAATTGGTTGCATTTTTTTCATCTCATCCTGTATTTTCGTCCGATATATATGTAATATTCGTCCAAATATGTAATATTAGTCCACATCCGATCAAATTCAGCTCAGAAGCAAGTACTTCAAGTTTAGTGAAAATCGGTTTAGAAATAGCTATAGCTGCCATATATATGTTTCATCCGATTTGGGGGTTCAGTCCATTACATTCGTAATGTGGACTCCACAACGATAATATTTGAAAACAGATATTACATATACCCTAGAAATTTTATCTTATCTACATCCGATTTGTTATTTGGTTATCAGTCCAAATTTAATTGAATTTGTCCTGGAAGCAAATACCACGTTTCGTTTTTCAAAATTTTGAACCCTATGTGGGGGACGTGCCATGAGAAATGGCCCGATTTCTACCATCTTTATAAAAGATCTTGTGTTGGTGGAAAGATTGAGATGTACCAAGTCTGAATGGAAGTTAATGTTAATTTCGTGTTCTAAGAGCTTTATGGATGTTCAAAATGTTGACCCTTTGTGTGGAAGGTACTAGAAGGACTAGACAATTTATTCCATCTTCACCCCAGACTTTGGGTTAATAAAAATATTGTGATGTATGTAATTTGAAGGCAATCGGACCCTTACATCACATTTTATAGTAGTTATAATTATTCAAAAATTTGGTCCAAAGAGATCTAGGGCATAAAACCGTTATTTCGATGAGGCACGCCATACGACGGAGGGTATAATTAAATACCAGAATTGAATCAACGTATGAGGTAATTTTCGGTTTTCGTACCCCATATTGAAACACTAACTTACGTTTCTTACCTTAACTTCACATTAAAATACTGAGCATTTTAAGAGCACATTTGAAATAAAGTTCTGACGAAATCAAACACCCCAGACGATGTATATTTTTGTTGTATACATTTATTTGTTAATAGTTGTTTATTTCCTCACTATAATACTGATAACTTACAGCAATGTTAAAATTAATAATAATAATAATAAGTTAATTACAATAGTAATTGTGTTACACATAATACTGACAAAATACCTACATTAATTAACTATTTTGAAATTCTCAGAATTAATAACTTGTACAGATAAAATTTGTTCTTTGTATATATGCTTCAGGTCTTCAAAGTTCTTCTTTGTGTGTGTGTGTGTGTTTCTTTTTTTTTTTTGTAGCATTTCCACTAGTTTAGGTGATATGAACGAATTTCAAGAGAAAACAAACAAAAAAATCTGCAAGTTTGCTTTTATATCTAGGATCGATCAGTCAATAAAACCTTTGTTTTTTTTAATTTTTACATTTTTGGGATTCATCACTTCTCTTCAATAACTTGTATGTATTTAGAAGATATCATCTTCTCGCTATAACGTTCCAGACGTATACGGTACTTGGTACAAATTCCATTTTATACAGATTATTACAGAATAGAGTATTCGTAGTGTTTTCGAAAATAATGTTATTAGGTTCTAATATTTTTTTTTTAATTTTTGGTTTCATGATTTCCTAAATTGAAACTGGCCTCTCATATAATGGTCTGTTGGTGGTGTGCCCTCAAAATATCCGTCTCTTCATTATTTGCCTTATTTCCACTGTATCCATTAACTGGAAATTCCCTCAAAGCTTCTGAGTGGGGCGGATGTTTATCGCCCACCAGCACCTGCTCCTCACTGCTATCACATTCCAGCAGTTCCGGATGTAATGGCTTGAAATTATTGCGTTGCCATTGCCAACCGGAGTTGGGACGAACCGACTCGATTTCTTTGGTTTTCAACTCAATACCATTTGTGGGAGTCAAACCACTTAACAAAATCTCCTCACCATTGCTATTCACATTGTAGGTTATGAAATTGCATAGCTGTTGAGCCTCACCCCGCTTGCTGTCCCTCTCACTGGAGGTCTGTCGATTATAGATGCTGCTGGTACGATTCTGATTGCGCAGTCGTGATGTGCCATATGTTGAGCGCAGTGAACTCGCCCTAGTATGCATTGACATTGTCCGCTCGTGTATGTCGCCAGTTGTGTGAAAATGACAGAAGAAGGTTTGAAACCGTTTGTTGAATTCTCTTTTGAATTTTTCCTGAAAGTAGGAAAAAATTAAATAAAAAATTTAAAAAAATATTAGAATAGGTCTTCTATAGTCGATAGAAGACCTCTAGGTCTTTTATAGCCGATATAACCCCTCTAGTTCTTTCATAGCCGATAGAAGACCTTTAAGTCTTATATAGCCGATAGAAGACTTCTAAAGCCGATAGAATACCTCTAGGTCTTCTATAGCCTATGCAGACCTCCAGGTCTTCTATAGCCGATAAAAGACCTCCAGGTCTTCTATAGCTGATAAAAGACCTCCAGGTCTTCTATAGCCGATAAAAGACCTCCAGGTCTTTTATAGCCGATAAAAGACCTCCAGGTCTTCTATGGCCGATAGAAGATATCCAGGTCTTCTATGGCCGATAGAAGATCTCCAGGTCTTCTTTGCCGATAAAAAATTTACAGATCTTCTATAGCCGATAGAAGACTTTCAGGTCTTCTATAGCCGGTATAAGACCTCTAGGTCTTCTATAGCCGATAGAAAACCTCCAGGTGTTCTCTAGCCGATAGAAGTCCACCAGCTTCCATAGTCGATAGAAGACCTCCATGTCTTCTATAGCCGATAGAACAAGACCTGGGGTCTTCTATAGCCGATAGAAAACCTCCAGGTGTTCTCTAGCCGATAGAAGACCTCCAGGTCTTCCATAGCCGATAGGAAACCTCCAGGTCTTTTATAGCCGACAGAAGATCTCCAAGTCTTCTATTGCCGATAGGAGACTTCCAGGTCCTCCTATCCCGATAGAAGACCTCCATTGTCGATGGAAGACTTCTAGATCTTCTAAAGTCGATAGAATACCTCTAGGGCTTCCATAGCCCATATAGGCCTCCAGGTCTTCTATAGCCGATAAAAGACCTACATGTCTTCTATAGCCGATAGAAGACTTCCAGGTCTTCCAGGCCGGTATATGACCTCTAGGTATTCTATAGCCGATAGAAGACCCCCAGGAAATTTGGAGCTTCTTAGTACTTTTAGTAGAATTCTAGTCCGAATTTTAAAAACTCAGCCTTATCTCACCCCTACCCATCAACATTGACCCACCTGCAAAATTGCAAGATTCTAGCTTCAGCCACGAATAAGTTTAAATTGTATCAGTAATTTTATTTCCAAATTGTAGGATACCAGCTCGATTGGTTTTCCCAAAAATATAAATTGTACCAAATGTATTACCATTTTGTACACTGCAGTCGAATTTCCAAAACTACCTACATACCTCAGTCCTAAAATGCAATTGTAATCTTATTTCCAAATTTCACCATTCCAGTTTAACCAATTCACCCAAATCGAAATTGTATCAAATTTAGTACCACTTAGTACTTTTCGTGCAAATATGTACAAATTTTGAAAACTACTTCCATGTATCAATCCTACACTCCAACCCTAATCCGTTCCTCCAAATTCAAATTGTACTTAATTCAATACCGTTTAGTACTTCGTACACACTTCGAAAACTAACTCCTTACATCGACCCTACTCCTTAATCTAGATTCGAATTCCAAATTTCAAGTTTTTAGCTCTAACCGTTCACAAGCTGCAAAATGGTACCAAATTTAGTACATTTAAGTACTTTTCGTACACTTATTGTGCAAATTTCCCAAATCCCTTTGGTACATCCATCATACTTTCCATCAGTGACCCTCATTCGAAATTGAAGAGTTCTAGCTCTACAAAGGTTTCCATATTTAGTAACTTTTAGTACCATTCTAGTACTGATTTCAAAGGCCCAGCCATATTTGACACCTTCGGACAAAAAGAGTGACCCTCACACAAAATTTAAAGATTCTATCTTCAGCTTCTTCGTCTGGGCGTTGATGAATCGTTAAGTCATTCAGTCAATCAGACAATAACAAAGGTTTCCAAATGTCGTACCTTCAGTGCTTTTCGTACCGTTGTAGTACCAATTTCCAAAACCCAGCCTTATCTGACACCTTCGGACCAAGAGTGACCCTCACACAAAATTTAGAGATTCCATCTTCAGCCTCTTCGTCTGGCCGTTGGTGATTCGTTAAGTCAGTCAGTCAATCAGACAATCAGTCAATAACAAAGGTTTCTATATTTCGTACCTTTCAGTATTTTTCGTACGGTTGTAGTAGCAATTTTCAAAGACCCAGCCTTATTTGACACCTTCGGACACCTCACACAAAATTTAGAGATTCCATCTTCAGCCTCTTCGTCTGGGCGTTGATGAATCGTTAAGTCAGTCAGACAATCAGTCAATAAAAAAAGTTTCCATAATTAGTACCTTTTAGTACTTTTCGTACCGTTGTAGTGCCAATTTCCAAAAACCCAGCCTTATCTGACACCTTCGGACCAAGAGTGACCCTCACACAAAATTTAGAGATTCCAGCTTCAGCCGTTTCCTGTGGGCGTCAGTCAATAAATTTACTCAGATTCAATAGTTGCCCTCGTAGATTCACGTTTCCGTTAAGGAAAGAAACACCTTTACCACACTGTTATTTGAGGTACAACATTGCTTGACATTCCCTCGTGTGGCTAATTTCCACCCACAACCCCATTGTGACTTTCCTCCTTATAATCTTATTATAGACAACAACATCACCAAGTCATCATCCGAATAACAAAAAAAAAAAAAACAAAATAAGAAATAAAAGCTTTTAATAATCTTTCCACTGCCACCAGGCACACCTTGCGCACTCCCCTACTCGCTGTTTACCCGCTACTTACGTTGTATATGCCATAGATGAAAGGATTATAGCAGCTGTTACTCATGGCTAGCCAATCGCAGCAGAACCAGACAATACCAATGAACTGGTATTCATTCACTTCGGGAATCGTAACATAAAGTATGTTGTACAGCTGCAAAGGCAGCCAGCAGACTCCGAATACAATCACAACTATAATCAGCATTTTTATGACCTGTAATAAAGAATAGCAGAAAAAAAGAGGACAATCAAATGACAACACAAACACCAAGAGGATTATAATCATTGGCGAGATATACTTTCGCAAGCAAATAAACAAATACATAGTCCGACTTAGGCTATACCTTTTTCTTATTCCTCATCAGCGTTATATCCCTTGAGTCCTGCGCATTTCCCGGTGCTCGAGTGCCCCACAAACGTATCGCCATTTGTATGTAAACGAAGCTGATGACGCAAAACGGCACCAAATACTGAACAAATACCAGCGAATAACGATACGTCTGCAGCTGGCTATCGGAGAGATTTACATTGTTGCAGAACGGTGTTGTCACATTGTATATGGTGTTGTTGATAGTGTCTGAAAAAGAAGGGAAAGCGAAATAGTAGATGCCACAAGGTAATAAAAAATTATCCTAGCCATCACAGAGAGAGAGAGAGTGATATGCAAATGAGAGATTGTCTGGCGGATTATTTTTTAAAATTGTATCGACGTTACATACCTTTTCGCCGTTCATGTTGTAATTCGACGCGAAATGCAATGGCACAGGGCGTTGCAAAGGTCACTGACGCCAGCCAAATGGTGGCAATTATAAATTTCGATGCAAATTTTGTGGGGCGTGCTCTGAAAGAGGAAAATGGAAAGCAAAACTAGAATTAATCAGATTATTTTTAGAAATGGTAATGAAAATGAGATATTGGAAATTTGAGGAATTCTAAGTGAGAAAATTGTATCTGATTACGCAAAAATTCGTGTAGAGGGAAGACACTATTTAGATGAATATGTGATGAAGGGGCAGATCTGAAAGGTCTGATTTTTAAAACCCAAGGACTTACGTGTGTAATATTCAAGAGCTGGCCTTTCACGGCAATACAAAATTAGGGTTTTGGAGATACATCCCCATTGATAGAGCTATAGACATATCTCACGGTATTTCGTAATCTATGTAATCAGGATTTGCATTAAGAACAAGGTATGACTTTTATAATTCAAATTCCGCTCAAAGCAAACATTTGATTATCATGTCAAAATAAGTCCATAAATAGTGCAAATTATTGACAATTTAAGCTATGGGTGAGTTATTCGAAAATTTGGATCTCAGCCATTTGTAAATAATACCACCCTATAAATGGCTGGTACCACTAATAAGTGATTTTTAACTATTTTCTACCCATGCATCCAAGCGACAGTTTGGTGTGGTTTTTTACCCTCTATAGGCTGTGGCATCATTAGATCATACTTCTTCAAAAATAAAAATGTTTTTTTGTCATAGAAATTATTTTTAAAATAACTTCTGGGGAGAATATCCCAGACAAAAAACAAGCGAACTGATGAGGATTGGTGGCTCTTTCCGAAACCTAGGTATTCCCTGCCTTACCCCCTGGTAAACATTACCATCATTCTCCACTAATAAACAAACGTTGTTTTTATAAAAACAACAATAAAGGGATAAAGCCTGACCATTTTGCAACAACAAAATACTACGGTATTCCGAACAAACAAGCCACACTGTTCTTCTTCAAAAATGCTGAACTACTGTGAGATGATATCCAACTTTTTTGCCCGAATCGCAGAGCCTTCGTACAAAATTGGTTCATAGCAAAATCTTTTACTAAGCCTTCATCAAGTTCGGCTCACTGCCTCTTTTTTTTTTTTTTAATAAAACAATTAAAAAAGCAGTAAGTTCGGCCAGGCAGAATTTTACAAATTACAAAATATAAAATTCTGTTAAAATTTTAAAAATACCGAATATTGGAAGGTGCCGACATATGAGGGATATACGATGTTGTGGACCTTTATATACAATTCCATTTCAGGGCGTAAAATACTAACAAAGAACACCTTGTGTAGAATTTCAGACAATTCCATTGAAAAATGTGGCTAAAATCATAAAAATGCCGAATATCGGAAGGTGCCGACATATGGGGGATATGCGATATCCTGGACCTATAAAGATAAATAAAGGCGATAAAGTACTCACAAGGAACTCCTTGTGCGAATTTTCAGACAATTCCGTTAAAAATGTGGCTAAAATCATCTAAATACCGAGTATCGGGGAGTACCGCTATATGGGGGCTATACGATATCGTGGGCCTATAGAAATTTTTTTCCCAGGGGATATAGTACTTTTGAGGAACTCCTTTTGTGGAACTTCAGACAATTCCATTGGAAAATGTGGCTAAAATCATCAAAATTCCGAATATCGGAAGGTGCCGTTTTATGGTGGATATACGATATTAGGAATCTATATGAACAATTATCTTCTAGGATATAAAGTACACACACGGAACTTCTTGTGTGAATTTTTAGACAACGACATTGAAAAATGTGGCTAAAATCATAAAAATACTGAATATTGGAATCTCTATTCGTTTTGACTCTGACGCGATTACAACAGACGGGCGGAAATTGGCCATATCCTCTTTCGAACCAAATTAAATAGTATCAGTCGTTATTGCCGACAGATTGATACCCTCAGCCTTTATCCTTTTATTGAAATATATTTTGACATGTTTTATTATTATTCAAAATGTTGACCCTCTATAGGAGAGCTACCGATGGCGTAGAACAATATTGTCCATTTCTCTTATGACCTTAGTCTGATATAATCATTGGAGGTGACAGGTTTGGATAATGTGTATAGTATATACATACTTTTTTGAAAATGCTCAACTTGTTTGGAAAGTTACCAGAAATAGTGGGTCAACATACCCCACATACACGATTTTTGAAGAAAATCGCGGATTTATTTCGCATGTATGAGGGTTATAATTATTCATAATGTCAAAAAGTGTAGAAGGTACGAGGGGGAGTGGGGAATTTCGACCTATACATGCAATGTTTCGCCACGGGAGCTAGAACCCATTAGGACCCACAAATATATATTTTTAGACAAATCCGCAAAGAAATGCGGCAAAAACATCAAAATACCGAATATTGGGAGGTACCGTTATATGGGAGCTATACCAAAACGTGGGCCTATACATAGAATGTTTCGCCACGGGAGCTGGAACCCATTATGACCAACAAATACCAATTTTAAGACAAATCCGTGGAAAAATGTGGCAAAAACCATCAAAATACCGAATATCGGGAGGTACCGTTATATGGGGACTATACCAAAACGTGGACCGATATATCTCATGTTCAATACCAACCATCCTAGTCACAATACAAATAATGTGGGCTGTATCCTGATTTCAACATACGGACAGACAGACGGACATCGTTAAATCGACTTAGAATTTTATGCTGATTATTCCCCCTTTCCATGGAGAAGGATATATAAATGTTTACCTTTTGTGGGGAAGGTATTAGAAGAAATGGCCGCTATATCCCATCTTATTCAAAATGTTGACCTTTGTATAGGTGGTACCAGAAGGTGTGAACCGGTAAACCCCATTTTCACACTCTATCTTATAATGGTTATGATATTGAGATGTGCGAAATTAAAAAAATAGATATTCCAAATTTTGACCCTTTGTGGGGAAGGTATTCAAAGGAGGTGTTCGATATATCACACCTTCACATCAGATCTCGTTTTGGTAGAGATTTTGGGATGTGCGAAGTTTGAAAATAGTCGTATGTTCATTTCGCATTTTATGAGCGTTTTAGATATTCCAAATTTGAACCTTTTGTAGCGGAGGTACTAGAAGGAGTAGTCCGATCTTGTCCACGATTTGCAAAATTTTTTCGTTCTCTTCCTATGCGGTAAATTATTTTCTATGAAGATGTTGACCTTTTGTGGGAGAGGTACCAGAAGGAGTGAACTGCTATTGCCCATCTCCGAACTCGATCTAAGTTTGACAAAATACTATGATGAACTAAGTTTGAACCAAATCTGATACTCCCTTCGAGAGATATTGTGCGCACCAGGCAGACAGACAGGCAGAGGGACATCTTCCAAAAATACACATACCTTAAAGAGAGCAAGAAAAAAGCTGCAAGTTCGGCCGGGCCGTACATTGAATACCCTCCATCTTTTGGAACGAATTTGGCAATTCTCAAAAAATCTATTAAAAATTCTGTTAAAATCTTAGAAATACCGAATGTAGCCATTATATTAGGGTCAATACAACGACATGCACCTGCATAGGTAACTTTTGTCATAAGCAATTACAATATTTAAATGCGAAATTTAGAAAAAAATCGGTGATTAATGTAGCTAAAGTCATCAAAGTACCGAATATCGGGAGGTACCGTTATATGGAGGTTATACTAAAGCGTGGACCTGCACAGACAATTTTCTGTCTTAGGCTGTAGTATTCATTGCCAACTTCAAATACCAAATTTGAAACAATTCCTGTGAATAATATCGCTAAAAGCCTTAGATACCGAATATCGGGAGGTATCGATATATAGGGGCTATGCTAAAACGTGGACCTACAAAGACAAATTTCTGCCTTAGGCTGTAGTATCAATTGCGAACTTCAAATACCAAATTTGAAACAATTCTGGTGAAAAAATATCCACAAAATCATTAAAATACCGAATATCGGGAGGTAACGTTATATGGGGGTCCTACGAAGACGTGGACCTGCACAGACAATTTTCTGTCTTAGGCTGTAGTATCCATTATGAATTTCAAATACCAAATTTGAAACAATTCCGATGAATGAATTCGCTAAAATCATCAAAATACCGAATATCGGAAGGTGCCGTTATATGGGGGCTATACGAAGACGTGGACCTGCACAGACAATTTTCTGTCTTAGGCTGTACTATCCATTACGAACTTCAAATATTAAATATGAAAAAATTTTGGTGAATAATGTCGCTAAAATAATCAAAATACCGAATATCGGGAGGTACCGATATATAGGGGCTATGCTAAAACGAGGACCTACATGACCCATTTTCAATACCAAAAGTCCAGCAGACATAGTATACATTTGAGTAAAATTTTATCAACCTACTTTGCTTCGTTTGGAAGCTAGAGTGATTTCCACAAACGGATAGACGGATGCACATCGCTAAATCTACATAGAATTTTATGCTGATGATTTATGGGGTCTAAAATGTATATTTCGAGGTGTTACAAACGAATTGACAAACTTAATATACCCTCCATACTATGGTGGAGGGTATAAAAAGTATCCTAAATTATGTTAACCCAGACCTTTAAAAAGACTATCTCAATGCATTGCGTATTTGCGAATTGAACCCAAAACATCCTCATTTGGAAGTTTTTATCTCTGTTTTTCCAACAAATAACGCATACCAAGTTGCAGGAAATTGCAACCATCTGCCATGGCAGTTCATCGCACAACTCAACAATGCACATCATATTTTCAACTACATAAAGTGTATCGATCAAAAAAGTGATAAACTTGCCCATGAAAAATGATGTTTCCATGGAAAGGAATACCTCATTTCGATAAGTATTGAGTATTGAATTCAATGGAATTATTAACATTGTTTTAACGAAACATTGCAACAATCAATCGCGAAGGAGTATTTATTTTCCTGGATTTTTTTTTTTTTTATCTTTACACGCCAATTAACGGAATAAATTCCTGCCAGAGGTGTGGTTAAGAAGCTGTTGTTAAACACAAATGAAAAAACAGAACACATTAACATTCTTTTATTGTTCCATTAAATACACCATAACGATGGCTGGAATATAAAATCATTTATCCTCCATCCTCTTCGTTTTGAATAATTTACCTCAATGGATTTAGTATTGCTCGATGGCGATCTATGGCAATTGCCGTCAGAGTAAATACCGAAACATTAACACTGACGGCCTGGACAAAGGGACAAAATCCGCACATAAACCATGGCAGGGTCCAACGTTGTAGCAGGGCTGCCTGGAACTGTAAATAAATTCAAATATTCGTATTCAGTCAAGTTGAATGTTTTTCTTTTTTACATTGTCTCAATGTCGGTAACAAGACATCAACTCAAAATTACTTTTTTTTTTTTGAAAATCAAACAAAAATTAGAATAAATTATATTTTTTTCACTCTAATCCACTTACCTGGAATGGTATGCAGAACAGTCCAATTATTACATCGGCAAATGCCAAGTTGGCAATGTACATATTTGTTACGGTACGCATTTGTCTCGTTGTTGCCACAACCCAGATGACCAGAGAATTACCAACTATGGCAACTAAACTTATAGTTCCATAGAATACGGAGAGTAGTACAACAATTTCCACTGGAGCAATATAGAGGACCTCTGTTTGGGGGAGGAAAAAAACAAATAACAAGAAACTCAAATATTGCAACTTTTTCAGTTAAAAGTGACACATTGTAGAAAGCTAACAAAGGGGCTTTGTATTCTCAACAAAAATTTTTTGAGAAAGTTTGAAATTCCGTTCCGACACATAATTATGGAAAGAAAAATATGACTTCTTTATAAGAGTAGTTGTGCGAATTGGAAAAATTCCCAAGGAAAATGGGAACTACTTTGTTCTGTGATTATTATTCAACTGCGCGGATGATTGTTACTTGAGTGCGTGAAATTATTTTACCTAACTTCGGGGAAGAGAATTACCAAAGAAAACAAACTTTGAAAATTTCAGTGGGTGTGACGAGAGATATTTGACTGTTTATGTATAAATAATTCGGGGGACGCATTATCAAGTCGTGCGGGGCCGACTTTATGATACCCTACACCACTTTGCCAATTTAGTAGAGCAAAGAGGAGAATTTAATCATACACGCTATGATTATAATTATAATTTAAAGTTCAAAGGACTAAATATGCCGAAGCATTTGTGTATTTTAAATTCGGACTTGTATTGCCCATTTGGTGCGAAATTAATTTGAAATCGGATAAAAATATATCTGGGAACTATATCCAAATCTGAACTGATCTCGATAAAATTTGGCAAAGATATTTCTGAGCTGTTTTTGATATATTTCCCTGAATATCGTTGTTACGGAGTGCATATTACGGCTGTGGGTAACAAATATGACAAATCGGATGAAGAGTATATATGGGAGCTATAGCTATATCTGAGCCGATCTTCACCAAATTTGGTATACTAGCTTCTAGACTCAATTCGGTCGTATGTGCCAAATTTCATCCCATTTGGACAAATATTAGACGTTTGGTGCACAATAAAAGGTAAATCGGACGAAGTTATATATGGGAGATATATCCAAATTCGAACCGATTTCGATAAAATTTTCCAAAGGTATTTCTGAGCTGCACTTGATATATGTCCCCAAATATTGTTGTTACAGGGTGCATATTACGGCTGCGGAAGACAAAAAAACAAATCGGATGAACAATATATATGGGAGCTATAGCTATATCTGAACCGATTTCGATCAAATTTGGCATACTTATTTTCAGGCCTAATTTGATCGTATGTGCAAAATTCCACACTATTCGGGCTGATATTACACGTTTGGTGCACAATAAAATGCAAATCGTACGAAGATATGTATGGGAGCTATATCTAAATTTTTACCGATTATCTCCAATTTCAATAGGGTTCGTCCTTGGGCCAAAAAAAGGTTGTTTGGAAAATTTCATCTCAATTGGATAATTAATGTGACCTGCATTTTGTTCACAAGAATACATGGACAGACGGACTGACATGCATAAATCAACTCAGAAAGTGATTCTATGAAGATCCTCAAAAGTAACTATGGGTCTATCTCGCTTCCTTCTCCATGTTACAAACAAACGCACAAAGACATAATACCGTTACCACTATGTGGTGTAGGATAAAAAATTATACCAAGGTTTTCATTAATTTGGAAAAGAAGACTACAATTTGACAAAATTTGATTTGACTTTCTTTGAATTTCAAAATTTAATTTGTTTAATTAATTTTGGTGTAACTCTAATTTAGTAGTAACTTTCAGATTTTATCCTGATTCCGGGAAAGTATTTTTTTTCTTAGAGATCGGATATTTGACCCGAAAGTCCGCGTCCAGGACCCGGACCTACTAAACCGATGTGGGCTATATGGGTGCTCTGGTTATTTAAAACGGGAGGTGTATCAAAATTATTTGTTGGAACTGGAAAAAAAATCCCTCAAAAGTTTAAAAAGGCTCCATTTCGGGAATCTATTAAATTATAGCCAAATTATAGTTGATATTATAACCTCTCCAAAATGCAGGAATATTCAGTACATTGTTGGACACACCGAGAGGAGAAAGTTTCAAGCCCCGGTGAAAGGCTTCATGCTTAAAAGGAAACCTTGGTTTGCAATCTTTGGATCTCAAGCCCCGGCCGAAGGCCATCTACCCAAACAGTATCAACATTAATAAAACTTTGGATCGTTGACGGGACCTCCAATAGGGATTTTGAATAATATCAAAAAAAATCCTTCAAAAAACATCACTTAAATGAATACCGTTATATGAGGGATATACGAAGACGTGTAATTTTTGTCGTAGGCTCTAGTATCGATTCCGAACTTCAAATACGAAATTCCGGTGAATAATGTTGGTAATATCATCAAAAACCGAATAGCGAGAGGTACCGTTATATGGGAGATATGCAATATCGTGGACCTATATAGACAATTTTCTTCCAGGGGGTGAAGTTATCAAAAGCAGCTACTGGTGTGGATTCTCGGAAAATTCCACTGACAATTTGACCACAATCATCAAAATACCGAATATAGGGTAGTGATAACTTTTTTAATCTTGAATTATTGAATATTTTAAAATGGTCATAACTCCTTAAATTTTGAGTTTTCGGCGATTTTAGCTATTATTTGTGATCACTTTTTAACGCTTAATTTATTGAATATTTTAAATGGCCATAACTAATTAAATATTGAGTTTTCGGCTTTTTTAGCTATTATTTGTGACAACATTTTTAAGTTTGAATTAATATTGAGTTTTCAGAGTTTTTAGCTTTTATTTGTGATCATTTTTTAAAGCTTGAATTATTGAATATTTTAAAATGGCGATGACTCCTTAAATATTGAGTTTTCGGCGTTTTTATCTATTATTTATGATCACATTTTAAAGCTTGAATTATTGAATATTTTAAATGGCCATAACTCCAGAACCACCACAGAATCGAATTATAAAAAAATAAGAAATTACATATAAATTCCTTATGTTGGGGATATCGTACATCGTGGACCTGAATAAAAAATTATCTTCCAGAGGATAACGTACTCACAAGGAACTTGATTTTCAAAAGTGGCTAAAATCATCAAAGTATCGAATATCGGAAGGTGCCGTTATATGGGGATATACGATAGCGTGAACCTTTATAGGCAATTTATTTCCTGAGGATAAAGTCTCACAGGGAACTCCTTGTGCAGAATTTCAGATAATTTCATTGCAAAATGTGGCTAAAATCATAAAAAACCCGAATATCGGGGGTACTCTTATATGGAGGCTATACGAAATCGTTGACCGATATAGCCCATCTTCGAACTTGACCTGCCTGCAGACAAAAGACAGATTTGTGCAAAATTTTAGCTTCCTATCTTAATTTGTTTTCACCCTAGCGTGATTATAAATTACCTGAATTTTTGGCACATCCGACCGAATTCAGTCTAGAAGCAAGTACATTAAATTTGGAGAAAATGGGTTCAGATATAGCTAAAGCTCCCATATACATGTTTTATCCGATTTGAGATTTGAAGTCCCTCACATATGCACTCCACAAGTATGATACTTGGTACCAGATAACTTATGGAGCACAAAAATGCTTCTGTTAAATTGTATCGAGAACGGATCAGATTAGGATATAGCCCCCCATATATATCTTTATCTGATATCAGGTTTATTGTGCACCAAATAAGTAATATCAGCCCAAATTTAATGGATTTTTTATACCCTCCACCATAGTATGGAGGGTATATTAACCTTGTCATTCCCTTTGTAACTCATCGAATTATACATTTTAGACCCCACAAAGTATATATATTCTTGATCAGCATAAAATTCTATGTCATCTGTCCGTCTGGGAAAATCAATCTAGATTCCGAACGAAATGAAGTAGGTTGATAAAATTTTACTCAAATGTATATTATGTTTGCAGGACATTTGGTATTGAAAATGGTCCATGTAGGTCCACGTTTTGGTTTTAGCACCCTTATAATGGTACCTCCCTATTTTCGGTATTTTGGTGATTTAAGAGATATTGTTCACCGGAAATGTTTCAAATTTGGTATTTGAAGTTTGTAATGAATACCACAGCCCAAGAAAGAAAATTTTCCGTGCAGGTCAACGTCTTCATATTGCCCCCATATAACGGTACGTTCTTATATTCGGTATTTTGATGATTTAAGCGACATTATTCACATATATTTTTTTTTCAAGTTTCGCTTATGGATATTTTAATGGCTTATGGCAGAAGTTGCCTTTGCAGGTTCACGTCATCGTATAGACAGATATACGTATAACAGAATACGTTCCAAATGGTGGAGGGTATTAAAAGTTCGTCCCTGCCATTTTCCAATATAAAACTTTTTGTTACGAGAGCTCTACCAAATAAGCATAGTGGTGTGGGGTATCATATTGTCGGCCCCAACCGACTTTTGACCATTCCTTGCTGGTTTGCTTGTTTAGGATAATTTTTAGTCAAAAAAACAAAATGGATTTTTTGAAAAACTTGTTCAATGACACTCTTGTCAAAAATTGTGAACTGTCTAAAAACTAGAAATATTTTAGTATGATTAAACATTAGATTAGCCTCTTCATATTCTCTATGGTGTAGCGTATCATATAGCCGTCTCGATCGGTCTTTGTTCTTTTCGTACTTTTTTAAGAACGTCAAATGCTTACAAAAGAATATAAGTGTATAACCTTTTCATTAATTTCCGATTTTCTTCCAGTGTTGTTTTCTTTTTTATTGCTTGTGTAAATACTTAAAATTTTATGGAAGTTAATATAAAAACGTACCGAAATAAAACTTTTCCGAAAATAAAATAATTTGTTTCCTTTTCAATAGAAAACATAATAAGTCACATTTAAATTTGCTTCTCTGATAAGAGTGAGAGAGCTTATTGCAAATATAATTGCTTTGTTCCCAGAAATATCCTACATGCATTGGCATTTGTGGCCAAGTTTACTTTGGCTCCGAAGTACAACTGTTTGGGTAGCAACACGCACTTTGAATAAAATCACATTTCATTCAAACATATGAAGAGGGGTTCAAGGTGATTGCAAAAGCCACAATTAATTGGAACTAGGCATAATGAGAAGAAACGAAAATTGCCACATATCTATCGGTATTTCCAAAGAAGACGAATTACATCTCCGAGATTTGATTGTTGATACAAAATGCATGTGTGTGCATATCAGCAGAAATGAAGATTATCCTACCTCTTCACAGTTTAATAATAATATTTAATTATTTGCCTTTGCGCTGGACACACCGAGAGGAGAAAGTTTCAAGCCCCGGTGAAAGGCTTCATGCTTAAAAGGAAACCTTGGTTTGCAATCTTTGGATCTCAAGCCCCGGCCGAAGGCCATCTACCCAAACAGTATCAACATTAATAAAACTTTGGATCGTTGACGGGACCTCCAATAGGGATTTTGAATAATATCAAAAAAAATCCTTCAAAAAACATCACTTAAATGAATACCGTTATATGAGGGATATAAGAAGACGTGTAATTTTTTGTCGTAGGCTCTAGTATCGATTCCGAACTTCAAATACGAAATTCCGGTGAATAATGTTGGTAATATCATCAAAAACCGAATAGCGAGATGTACCGTTATATGGGAAATATGCAATATCGTGGACCTATATAGACAATTTTCTTCCAGGGGGTGAAGTTATCAAAAGCAGCTACTGGTGTGGATTCTCGGAAAATTCCACTGACAATTTGACCACAATCATCAAATACCGAATATAGGGTAGTGATAACTTTTTTAATCTTGAATTATTGAATATTTTAAAATGGTCATAACTCCTTAAATTTTGAGTTTTCGGCGATTTTAGCTATTATTTGTGATCACTTTTTAACGCTTAATTTATTGAATATTTTAAATGGCCATAACTAATTAAATATTGAGTTTTCGGCTTTTTTAGCTATTATTTGTGACAACATTTTTAAGTTGAATTAATATTGAGTTTTCAGAGTTTTTAGCTTTTATTTGTGATCATTTTTTAAAGCTTGAATTATTGAATATTTTAAAATGGCGATGACTCCTTAAATATTGAGTTTTCGGCGTTTTTATCTATTATTTGTGATCACATTTTAAAGCTTGAATTATTGAATATTTTAAATGGCCATAACTCCAGAACCACCACAGAATCGAATTATAAAAAAATAAGAAATTACATATAAATTCCTTATGTTGGGGATATCGTACATCGTGGACCTGAATAAAAAATTATCTTCCAGAGGATAACGTACTCACAAGGAACTTGATTTTCAAAAGTGGCTAAAATCATCAAAGTATCGAATATCGGAAGGTGCCGTTATATGGGGATATACGATAGCGTGAACCTTTATAGGCAATTTATTTCCTGAGGATAAAGTCTCACAGGGAACTCCTTGTGCAGAATTTCAGATAATTTCATTGCAAAATGTGGCTAAAATCATAAAAAACCCGAATATCGGGGGTACTCTTATATGGAGGCTATACGAAATCGTTGACCGATATAGCCCATCTTCGAACTTGACCTGCCTGCAGACAAAAGACAGATTTGTGCAAAATTTTAGCTTCCTATCTTAATTTGTTTTCCCCCTAGCGTGATTATAAATTACCTGAATTTTTGGCACATCCGACCGAATTCAGTCTAGAAGCAAGTACATTAAATTTGGAGAAAATGGGTTCAGATATAGCTATAGCTCCCATATACATGTTTTATCCGATTTGAGATTTGAAGTCCCTCACATATGCACTCCACAAGTATGATACTTGGTACCAGATAACTTATGGAGCACAAAAATGCTTCTGTTAAATTGTATCGAGAACGGATCAGATTAGGATATAGCCCCCCATATATATCTTTATCTGATATCAGGTTTATTGTGCACCAAATAAGTAATATCAGCCCAAATTTAATGGATTTTTTATACCCTCCACCATAGTATGGAGGGTATATTAACCTTGTCATTCCCTTTGTAACTCATCGAATTATACATTTTAGACCCCACAAAGTATATATATTCTTGATCAGCATAAAATTCTATGTCATCTGTCCGTCTGGGAAAATCAATCTAGATTCCGAACGAAATGAAGTAGGTTGATAAAATTTTACTCAAATGTATATTATGTTTGCAGGACATTTGGTATTGAAAATGGTCCATGTAGGTCCACGTTTTGGTTTTAGCACCCTTATAATGGTACCTCCCTATTTTCGGTATTTTGGTGATTTAAGAGATATTGTTCACCGGAAATGTTTCAAATTTGGTATTTGAAGTTTGTAATGAATACCACAGCCCAAGAAAGAAAATTTTCCGTGCAGGTCAACGTCTTCATATTGCCCCCATATAACGGTACGTTCTTATATTCGGTATTTTGATGATTTAAGCGACATTATTCACATATATATTTTTTTTCAAGTTTCGCTTATGGATATTTTAATGGCTTATGGCAGAAGTTGCCTTTGCAGGTTCACGTCATCGTATAGACCCTAATATAATGGCTACATTCGGTATTTTTAAGATTTTAACAGAATACGTTCCAAATGGTGGATGGTATTAAAAGTTCGTCCCTGCCATTTTCCAATATAAAACTTTTTGTTACGAGAGCTCTACCAAATAAGCATAGTGGTGTGGGGTATCATATTGTCGGCCCCAACCGACTTTTGACCATTCCTTGCTGGTTTGCTTGTTTAGGATAATTTTTAGTCAAAAAAACAAAATGGATTTTTTGAAAAACTTGTTCAATGACACTCTTGTCAAAAATTGTGAACTGTCTAAAAACTAGAAATATTTTAGTATGATTAAACATTAGATTAGCCTCTTCATATTCTCTATGGTGTAGCGTATCATATAGCCGTCTCGATCGGTCTTTGTTCTTTTCGTACTTTTTTAAGAACGTCAAATGCTTACAAAAGAATATAAGTGTATAACCTTTTCATTAATTTCCGATTTTCTTCCAGTGTTGTTTTCTTTTTTATTGCTTGTGTAAATACTTAAAATTTTGTGGAAGTTAATATAAAAACGTACCGAAATAAAACTTTTCCGAAAATAAAATAATTTGTTTCCTTTTCAATAGAAAACATAATAAGTCACATTTAAATTTGCTTCTCTGATAAGAGTGAGAGAGCTTATTGCAAATATAATTGCTTTGTTCCCAGAAATATCCTACATGCATTGGCATTTGTGGCCAAGTTTACTTTGGCTCCGAAGTACGACTGTTTGGGTAGCAACACGCACTTTGAATAAAATCACATTTCATCCGAACATATGAAAAGGGTTCAAGGTGATTGCAAATAGCCACAATTAATTGGAACTAGGCGAAGAAGAAACGAACATTGCCACATATCTATCGGTATTTCCAAAGAAGACGAAGTACATCTCTGGGATTTGATTGTTGATGCAAAATGCATGTGTGTGCATATCAGCAGAAATGAAGATTATCCTACCTCTTCAAAGTTTAATAATAATATTTAATTATTTGCCTTTGCGCACTATGATAAACAATTTTGTCTCACTCACCATATTCCTCGTCATCCAGCATTTCATTTTCCTTGAAACGTGTAATTCCGTATTCATCCATGTTTTGTTTTATCGCTTCCCTGAAATGTGTGTGTGTGTGTGTGTGGGTGAGTTTATAACGGTGTTTGGTTATGCATCTGGAGGGAATTTATTCCTCCCGATGGTGATGGCGTTTCACTTTCAATTTTAAGTCCACAACTGTTTCTTATTGTCCTGAAATGCGTGATTGTTTCGTTTTGTTTTTAGCGCAAACACGTGATAACTTCTTGGAATAACCTGCAGATGCTTTGTGCAGAGCTTCATTTAAAAACAGGGCTTTGTTTTCGCAGGTGTGGATTTCATGTCGCTGAATAATTTTGCACAGAAGAAGTAAAAGGACATTTTAATAAGGTTTTCCTGAAAAAAAAAAACGAGAAAGGGGAGATGGAGTTTTAGGTAATGGAATGTATTTTTAAAATCAAGATCATCAAATTTAAAAATATTTATTTTGTCACTTGAAGTAATAACTTTTTGATTGCCTCTAATATCTATGGCACAACCACAAAGTGAAAAAATTTAATCCTAAAATGACTGTAAAACAAGTTAAAAGGTATCAGACGGTTTTGCCGACAGATGCATACCTTCAGCCAATGTTCGATTATTTAAATAAATTTAGACTTCTGTTATGATTATTCAAATTTTTGACCCCCTATGGAGTAGGTTCCGAAGGAATGGTCAAATACAGTCCATTTCTCATCGGACCTAAATAAATATGATATAAATAATGCGACTTGACAGGTTTGGACTACATCGACTACTTCCTTCACTTTATATGGGATATGTTTTAGAAAATGTTAAAATGCGCGCGGGTTCCAGATATAGTCGACCGAAGTATTCCATTTTTATATCCTCCACCATTCTATCTTGTGTTAGCAGAAATGTTTTTATGTGTGAAATTTTAAGAGAGTTGGATGCTTATTTCGCTTTCTTTGAGCGTTTTGTTTTTCAAAATCGTGAATCCTATGTGGGGGAGGTACTAGTAGAAATGGTTCGATCTCTACCATATTTACAACAGATCGTGTGTCGATGGAATTATTGAGATGTACCAAGTCTGAATGAGTTTCATGGTAATTCAAAATTTTGTGGGAGGGGTACCAGAAGGAGTGGACCTATATATACCATCGTCACAGCAGATCTTGTGTTACTAGAAATAATGGTATATGTAAAATATAAAAGAAATCGGATTTTATAATCGTTTTGGTTATTCAAAATTTTTAATTTTTACGGGGAGGTACCAGAAGGAATGGTCTGATGTCTATTATCTTTTTAACAGATCTTGTGCTGACAGAAATATTGAGATGTGCCAAGTCTGAATGGAATCGGATGAAAATTTCTCGTTTTATTAAGTCCATGGCTACTCAAAATTCTGATCCATTGTAGGGGAGGTACCAGAAGGAGTGGCCCGACCTCTAACATCTTCACACCAGATTTGGTAATAATAAAAATAATTGTAATGGGTGAAATTTGAAGACCATAGAACACTTATTTCAAATTTAATAATTTATTCCAATTTTTGGCCCTTTGTGGGGAAGGTACTTGATTGAGCGGGTCGAAATAGTCCATTTTCGCACCAGAAGTATCACTGCTGAAAATATTAGTATTTGCAAAGCACAAAATCGAATGAAAAATTTGAAAATTTTTACCATTTTTGGGAGAGTGGACCGATGTTGCTCATCTCCGAAATCGATCTAAGTTTGAAAATAATCGGATACTTTCTTCGAGCCAGCCATCCAGTCAGACGGACGGACACCCCTAGATCGACTCCAAATGTCTTGAAATGGATTTGCTTCAAAGAGGGCTAGGGTCTAAAGTCGATATTTTGTCTATGCACTTTTTAGCCGCATATATATCCCGTGAAGCCATATGGTTGAGGATATAACCAATTAGAATGGGTTAGACGGAATATTGCTAGAGGCAGAAAGGCTGTTAACACCCTTTAACTCTTGACACAATATTTTATGTCAATAAAAGTTTATAACCCGCTGAGCCTTCCATAACAATTCTGTTGGCCCAATATGGATTTCTTATGAAGACTAGTATCCATTGGTTCGGACCGCTTCCGGGTTATATGGGCATTTCTGGAGTTATCCTCTAAAAACAATAAACCAATTGGTCCCTGGACATATCCATCTGAAAAAATACTATTCATTAGCTTTACAGAAGTGGAAGGAAGTTTGAACCGATTTAGAGGAGTAGGGTCAAATCTTGAGAAATTTTTAGAAAAGGATAATAACATTGGCTACTATGGCTTCTAGGACAATTTAACCAGTCCAATGTTGGATTTATGAGAAAGCTCATGAACGGTACAATTAGGCACATGAACTGATGCCATCGACGCTTGTTACATTTTACATATTCCTCGGCTATCCTACATGTGGGCCATATAGCCGAGGACGTTCTGGCCGAAATCGAGGATTTTTTGTTCCAAGGACCCTCTAACAAAAAAACTGAAATTTTTTACTAATATTCTTTTGAAGCTTTTCTGGCCAAATATTATGGATGTTTTTTTTTTCAAAATCCAATTTTTTTAAAGAATATTCTCGAGGATCTTTTCACCAAAAATCTGAAATTCTCCAAAAAATTTTCTTCGTCGACCTTCTGACAAAAAATCGTGGATATTGTTTGGTTTTTAAAGAATGTTCCGATAAAAGATTTTTGTAGCAACTGAGGATTTTTGAAAATATCGAGGACTTTTTGACAAAGATCGCTGATTCGTAAAAACATTTTTCTAGGGTCTTCCCAACATAAATCGTAAATTTCTTACGTAATTTTTTTATGGAGTTAGGCTTTTAGGGACAACTTTTTAAGGACTTGCCGAATAAAAAAATGTTGGATTTAAAACAAAAAGATACGGGACCTTCTAATTATGTTTTTTTTTTTTTTTTTGAAATTGTGGAGAACCTTCTAAATCATTTCTTCAAATCAAAGATCCTTAAATTATGAATTTGTTAGAGGGCCTTCTAACCGGGATAAAATTTTTAAAATTTATTTGGAAGATATCAGACCCAAAAATTGTGTATTTTAAATCCGAGGACCAGAAGTAGTAAAATTTTAAATAAAAAATTCGAGGACTTTGTAACCGAAAATGGTGAATAGCGAGGAACTTTTAAAACTAATTTTTGTGTTTTTTATTTTATTTTACTTATTTTTATTTTTTTTAACAAGTAACGCAGTTTCTTTAAAAAAATTTTGGGTTTTCTGAAAAAAAAAAATCGAGAAATTTAAAAAACTACGATGAATATCAGGAAGTAGTGTTATATGGGGGCTATAGGGCAACATTGTCCTAAATGGACAATGTTATGCCACTGAATGTAAATCCCATCACACACTCTAATTACCAAATTTCAAAAGATTTGTGACAAAATTTGACTTAATGAATAAAATATCGGTAGCGTTATATGGGCACCATAGGACAACTTGGACCTATATATACAATGAACCTAACCTAGAACCTATTTCGAACCACAAATACCAAATCTTAGACAAATCCGTTAGAAAATGTGTCTAAAAATAAAATAAAAAACACAAAAATTAGTTTTAAAAGTTCCTCGCGATTCACCATTTCCGGTCAGAAAATCCTCGAAATTTTTATTTAAAATTTTACTACTTCTGGTCCTCGGATTTAAAATACACGATTTTTGGATCAGATATCTTCAAATAAATTTTTAAAATTTTATCCTGGTTAGAAGGCCCTCGAAAAAAATCATAACAAATTCAGGTACCGTTAAATGGGTGTCATAATAAAATATGGACCTATAAAGACAATGTTCTGCCACAGAAGTAGAAACCTTAAAAACTCTCAACATGGAATTTGGAACCATTCTGTCGAAAAATTAGCCTAACATTATCAAAATACCGAATATCGGGAGCTACGGTTATATGGGGGCTATACGGGAACACGGAACAATATATTTTATTTTCCATACCAACCATTCTAGATACAGTACGAACATTGTGCCATAAAATATTTTGAGTACTACTACCCATACTCAACTGTACCGAGACACTTATGCTCTTTCGATTTTTGCAACCACGAACTTTAAACGAAACTTTCAAAGTAATGATTTCATTAATGAAAATGTTTTCGCCCAACGTCAAATATTCCTGCCACTGGCATTGGAAATTCTGGCAGAAGGCTTTAAAACTCTTCTCCACTCAAGTTTACAAATTTCATATTCTAATTTATGTGCGCTTCAAAAATATATACATTATACCTGGCACGTTTGAGTAAATATTGAATATTTCTTTTGTTTTGCAACAAAGGAATGTGGGAGTGAAAGCATTTTTGCCGAAAAAAAAGAAAGAAACTTCGATATACTTTAAAACTTTGAGAAAAATTCATGAATTCTCAGCTCAGCAAGGAAACGGGAAAATATTTCGCCGCCAAAATGTTCTTCGCTGGAAAATGCCACTGGCAATGAAGATTATTTGATATTATCGGCAAATCGATGTGAACGACTGAAGCGTTGAACGCAGATTTACCGAAGAGCAATTCATTCCAAATTCCAAGATTTTCACTAAACCAAAGAAGATGCTCAGTGAGATGAGCGTTTGTATGGCATCTAATTGCCATAACGTTCCCATTCTTGCCAATAGTTTTCATGGCTGGTTAAGCATTCTGAAATTAATTAGAGAAAACTTTGCAACAAAACTACGACACAAAAAATAGTTAATAAATATTTCTTTTAAGTTCTTTCTTCTTGCCACCTGTAAGAAATACATTCGAAATGGGAATGCCGTGGGATTAAAGAGAATTAAATTCTTCCTGGAAGTTTGGCTTAAGTGAAACAACAAAATCAGTCAATATTTAATACCATTGAAAACTCATAATCGAAAATTACAGGAAAATTTATTGGAAAAGAATATCAAATTGAAATACATCAGTTCGTGGAAACTATTAAGGTAGATATGGGTGGAATATCAAGGGTGGGGACTCACCCTAGCTAACAGCTAATTCCCTTACAATTACAAAAACAACAAACATTTCTGAGAAAGTTTTTTGCAACATGAAAAGCATTTTTAGGATATGTATTAAAAACAAAAAATATGACTTCTTACAAATTCGATTATACCTGTGTGAGATGAGGTGACGTCACGTCAGCTGGGGTAAGCTTCAACATAGGCATCTGCAAAACTTTACGGAATAAACTATGAGGATGAAATTCGATATTACTTTTGAACATACATACAAAAACTTTGTTTTATATTCCATAACCAAAGATTCTGTTTCGGGTGGAGAGACCAAGTTTTGGTGAGCTTTCAGCCACAATATCCTACCGAGTCAGTTTGACAACATTTTTTAATCAAAACTTAACATATCGTATAAAACTTTCAGGGTTTATAAATGTTTTAAGTGT